GAACACACTGGCACAGAAGACTCCTTCCTAAATATAACACCAGTAGCACAGACACTAGAGTAATAATTAATAAATGGAACCTCCTGAAACTAAGAAGCTTTTGTGGTGCAAAGGACACAGTAAATAAGACAAAAATGGCAGCCTATAGAATAGGAAAAGATCTTCACCAACCCCATATCTGACAGAGGTCTGATCTCCAAAATACATAAAGACCTCAAGAAACTAGACAGCAAAATATCAAATAATCCAATTTAAAAAATGGGGTACAGATCCACACAGAGAATTCTCAACAGAAGAATCTCAAATGGCCAAAAGACATTTGAGGAATCACTCAACATCCTTAGCCATCAGGGAAATGCAAATCAAAATGACTTTGAAATACCATCTTACACCTGTCAGAATGGCTATGATCAAAAACACTGATGACAGCCTATGCTGGAAAGGATGTGGAGTAAGAGGAACACTCCTCCACTGCTGGTGGGAGTGCAAACTTGTACAGCCACTTTGGAAATCAATATGATGGTTTCTCAGAAAATTGGAAATCAGTCTACCTCAAGACCCAGCAATATCACTCTTAGACATATACCCAAAGGATGATTAATTATACTACAAGGACACTTGCTCAACTGTGTTCATAGCAGGATTATGTGTAACAGCCAAAACCTGGAAACAACCTAGGTGTCCCTCAACCAAAGAAAGGATAAAGTAAATGTGGTACATTTACACAGTGGAGTATTACTCAGCTATAAAAAATAATGACATCATGAAATGTGTAGGCAAATGGATGGAACTAGAAAAAAATGATCCTGAACGAGGTAACCCAGACCCAGAAAGACAAACACTGTATGTACTCACTCATAAGTGGATATTAGATGTAAAACAAAGGATAGCCAGGTTACAATCCATAATTCCAGAGAAACTAGGTAACAAGGAGGACCCTAAGAGGGACATACATGGATCCACTTAGGAAGAGGAAATAGATCAGATCTCCTGAGTAAACTGGGAGAGGGGGAAGAGGGAAGGGGGTGGGTGATGAGAACATGAGGGAATGGGATGGTCGAGTAGGGGGAGAGGTGAAGAAGGAGAGCAATGAAAGAAGTATCTTGATAGAGGGAGCCATTATGGAATTAGGGAGAAACCTGGTACTAGAGAAATTCCCAGGAATCTACAAGGATGATCCCAGCTGAGACTCCAAGCAATAGAGGAGAGGGTGCCTGAACTTGCCTTCCCCTGTAATCAGATTGGTGAATACCCTAACTGTCATCATAGAGCCTTCATCCAGTGACTGATGTAAGCAGATGCAGAGATGTACAGCTAGGCACTGGGCAGAGCACCTGGAGTCCAGCCAAAGAGTGGGGGAAGGGATTATATGAGCAGGGGGGTCAAGATCATGACGCAGAAACCCACAGAGACAGCAGATCCAAGCTATTGGGAGCTCATAAACTCTGGTTCCCTGGGGAACCTACAGGGGACCTAACTAGGCCCTCTGAATGTGAGTGACAGTTGTGTGGCTTGGTCTGTTTGTGGGGCCCCTGGCAGTGGGACCAGGATTTATCTCTGGTTCATCAGCGGGCTTTTTGAAGCCCACTCCCTATGGAGGGATACCTTGCTCAGCCTTGATGCAGCGGGGAGGGGCTTGGGCCTGACTCAACTTGATATGCCAGACTTTGTTGACTCCCCACAGGAGGCCTTACTCTCTCTGAGGAGTGGATGAGTGTGGGGTAGGGAGGAGGTGGGGGAGCAGGAGAAAGGGGGGGAGGGGGAACTGTGGTTGATATGAAATGAAAAAAAAATTTTTAAAAAAAGGAGACCTTGAATTCACAACAAAGGCAAGATACCCAAAAAATAATAATAATAATCCACCCTATCTATGATCTGCTGGAACACTAGAAGGGACCTTACACAAGGCAACGGCGGGATATCCAAGAGGAGTCTCAGTGAACGCCCGGCATCAATAGTGTAATAGAAACCAGAGGCCTTGAACCAGACCAAACACTCTGCAATGAACACTTGTAAGTAAAAATACATGGATGAAGGGGTTTACTGCGTGACTCACTGTGTCACGCTACAGATTCTATGACAAGATTTTTAATTTTTTCTCTTTTTCCCCCTTTTTTCTCTTAGCTTTTGTTTTATTTGGGGATGGGGTATAGGAGCAGAAGGTGGATGAGAAGGGATTGGGAAATGAATGGGATCAAGATACACCTTGTAAAAGATGCACAGAATAAATAAAAAGAAAGAAAAACGCAAATAAAAAGTAACAATAACCCCCACTACCACCCCAAAAAAATGTAAAATTTGATGTTGGCAACAGAATTTGATCACAACAATGTAAAAGGGGGCGGGGGAGTAACCATCTCTTTATTATTGGAAATTTCAAATGGAAACCAGAGTATAAAAATAATGTAGTGGACCTAACACTCTGCAAGTTCAGTCATGTGTCTCTGAGAGCCCGGACCAGTGGTAGCATATCTGACTAGCACCCATGAGGCCCTGGGTTCAATCCCAAGTACCTCAAAAACAGAAAAAGAGGGCTGGAGAAATGGATAAGTGTTTAAGAACACTGGCTGCTCTTCCAGAGGTCCTGAGATCAATTCCTAGCAATCACATGAGGGCTCATAACCATCTATAATGGGATCTGATGCCCTCTTCTGGCATGTAGGCATACATGCAGACAACACTCAGATCTTAAAAAAAAATGCATACATAAATAAAATTACTAAAAAATTTAAAAGATGCCGGGCGTTGGTGGCGCACGCCTTTAATCCCAGCACTCGGGAGGCAGAGCCAGGCGGATCTCTGTGAGTTCGAGGCCAGCCTTGGCTACCAAGTGA